AAGAAACAATACAAAATTTGAAATTAAAATGGTCCATATTAAAACACGTGTCAATAAAAAAGCACCGCCTATGGGCAATGATAGCCTTTGTTTGAAAAAAAAAAAGTTCTTCATCCTCAATGCAAATAAAGCTAACCTATTGAACAAAAGATAGAAGTTAATTAGCAAATGTCGTCATAACAATAAAAAGTATTTCTTCCCACCTGATCGTGTTAAATCTCATTAAGTAATGTATATGACGTGTGGCAGATAATAGAATATTATGCGTAGTTCGGACAGCACTGGTCCTTGGTGCATAGCAAATAACAGAGATAAACATGATACACTTACCCTCTTCTTTATATTCATGTATACATTTTGAAATACATATATATATATATATATATATATATATATATATATATAAATGCAAAAACAATGAAAAAACGGTGTACAATCATTGAAAGTTGACTTGCGGAACACAAAGTTATTAAGCTATAACAAAATCAAACGGATATTTCGATAGCTCCTGCTATCTTCATCAACGTTAAAGACACTTTAACACAATATATTTATTTTTTTTTATAGGACAGCATTTGCTGAGAGGTTTTTTACACGATGCACCATTATGTCCTTCATTCGAACATTTACCTTTCTTTGATGATTCATATATAATTTAACAACGTTAATGGCTATCTTTATATTATATTTACGGATAGATTTATATTATATGCTACTATTTATCTCCAGTCGTACGTCCAATGTGTAATAGAGTGTACATGACGGTTATTTAAATCCGTTGAATCTGTGATTCTGTGATTTAATGGTTATGACATTCCCCATGACAGCAAGATGTCGCATCTTTTGAATCCCGTTGGAGGAATTTTAATACACAAGGTGTTAATTTATTTATTTACTATAAGGCAGCACTCGTTGAGAGCTGTGCTACACGATGTACCATAATATCCTTCGTTCGAACACTGTATTTATCTTTCTTTGATGATTCATATATATATATATTATATATATTATATATACATATATATATATTATACATACATATATATATATAATATATACATATATATACATATATATACATACATATATATACATATATATATATATATATATAGATTAAAAGGCAAAATAATGAAAAACAACAATGCTGTGGGAAACAATGGCTGGATCTCAGTAGAGATACAAAAATTATAAGCAACAGCTAAAAAATAAACGTAAGTAAACAGCCAGAAATAGAACCAGAGCTTTCGGACAACACTATTTCTTCCTCAGTGGCGAGTGAGTGAGGGTAGAAAAAGCTAGATGGTATAAAGTGAGAATTTCATGCAAGCATGATTGGAAACAATAGGCTGGGTGAGATTAGAATAAACAGCCTAAACAAGTAAACAGGAAGGCCAAAACTAAACTTTAGAGGCAAGCCACAATAAATAAGCCAAATGATTAATCCAGAATAAATTGAAATGCCATTGGTTTAATTTAGTGTACTGGGAGAACGTTCCTAATATTGAGTCCAAATGGTGTGGTTGTTCTAAGTAAAAGTTCCCAGTGATTCTCTTTATCTTTGCGATTTTTGTCGCTCCAACTGGCATTATGGTCAATTGCAATCACTCTGAAATTTGAAATTGAATGACCAGCTAAATTGAAATATTCGGCTACTGGTTGATCAAGCTTATATGTTCTGATAGCTGATCTATGTTGTGTCATTCTCATACGGAGAGTGTTTTTTGTTTCTCCGACATATTGTTTACCACAAATATTACAATATATGAGATAAATGACATTTTTGGTTAGGCAATTAATTGATTGCCTTATCCGAAATATGTGGTTTGTTTGGTTGCTCTTGAATGATTGTGTAGAATCAAGCAAGGAGCATGTTTTGCATGATGAACCACAAAGATGACTACCCAAATTACGGTTGTCGCAAGAGTTTGCCTTGAATTTGCCTTTGAATTTAGATCGTACTAATATATCTGGAAGGTTAGGTGGTCTGCGATAGGCTATGAACGGTGTATCCGGAAAAACAGACCTAAGACGTTCTGTGGTCTGTAGAATGGGCATAGGCTTCTGAATTATAGCCCTTAGTGGTGGTAACCTAGGGTGATAGGTAGTGACCAGTGGCAATCTGGTCGATCGTTGACGTGGTTTGTACGTCAGTGTTTGAGCACGAGGTATGTCCTTTGCTTTTTTTTTTTTTTTTATAGCATTTTCAATGGGTCCTCGATGATAATTTCTATTCCGGAGATGTCCGGATAGTTCTTCTGTTCGATTCTGAAAATCTAAATCCGAAGAACAAATGCGTCTCATGCGCAATGCTTGGCAGTACGGAATGTTTTTTTGTACAGTGCGGGTTTAACGTATCCCGCGCCTAACAATTAGCAGCAGATGTGTATAAGAGACAGATATATATTTAATATTTACCTTTTTATATTATCCAAATAATGAATTTTCATTTGTAATAAAATAAAAAATTGAATTGAATTTAATAATGATTTAGACAGATGATAAGATAGACCATGGAAGCCGTAAAAAAAAACTTACTTCTATTAAGGTCCCAGAACGAAACAATTGACCACAAAGTAAAACATACACTACTGTAATTTTAAACTAGTAATCAATAAATATGTTTAAAAAATGGTTAAAATGGCCTAATGAAAACAACCAATGGTTTTATGAAAATATAAATATTTAACACATTAACTTATCAATGACAATTTCTTTATTTTTTTTAATATAGATACATTAATTATACAATATGTTAGAGAGCATACAAAAGAGAGCACTCAGAATCATACTTGGTGAATCCTACATAAATTATAATAGTGCTCTAAAATTGTGTAACATAGAAATGCTGGAGTGTAGAAGAAACAAATTATGCTTAGAATTTATTTGCTCACCAACTATGCAAATCAACAAATTTTAGATCCTGGATACCTGCTGAAATAGACCATCAATATAATTTGAGAAAGAAAAATCAGTTCAAACCACCTACTTTCAGAACTAATAGATACAAGCAAAGCCCAATTCCATACCTCATTAGTATCTTAAACGAGCAAAATACTTAAGACTTGCATTATCTACTTGAACCTCAGTATTAACATTAAGCCAAGATTAATCAGTTCATCATAAACCTAAATCATAGTTTAATAGTTTAATTTTTAAATCAATATATCTTTACTGTTGTGTATCTTTACCCTTATATTTTGAATTTATATATAAATGTTGTTTCGTAATCTTTGTGCAATGTTTAGACCAGGTTTATTTTTTTCCTAATGTATCATTCGCAATTTAGCTGCAAAGTTACAATGTTGATATTTTGAAATAAAACTTGAACTTGAGCTTAATATTGTTTTTAGCAATAAAAGAAAAGTGGAAATTTCAGAAGCAAAATGCTTGTAAATAAAATACCACGTTTCATAATCATAATCGGTTTAAAATAAATTGTGATTAAAATGTTTTTGTTAAAAGTGTAAATATAACTTCCTTACTGATTTTGTGAAGCTCTATGCTTATATGCAATAACATTATTGGTTCAAGCAAAGAGTATATTGTTATTTTGCATGCATGCAATAAAACTTAAATCGAAGTACTATCACGAGATAGCGGGCGCCCTATTGTAATTAAGATAGCGTTTGAGACTCGAGCATGAAGGGTGCCCTCTACGTTATCTTTCGAGATAGGATTCAAGGAAACCTCGACAGTCGGACCTCTTGCAATTCTATTTTTTTTTTTTATTCGGCTTTACACTGGCAACAGTACAAAAATATGTATATAAATATAAATAGAAATTCCAGTGAGAGAGGTATCAACAGGTGCAAGCACCTCTAACACGACACGCTCTCCAAATGCACAAAACCCAACGGCAAATACATAAAAGTATAATTCGAAAAAAAGAGAAAATAACTACACAGTTCTACAAACATAATAATATGTTTAGTTCAAGACAATTCAATATCTTTAGTTCAAGACAACAGTTTAAATATCATGAATATTGGTTTCCGATATGGTAGAAACATGAATTAACAGATAACACAAAACAATTAACTTTCATTTTTTGTAAAACTTGTCGCGTGCAGAACCTTTATTGATGATATCACATGTTATCACGCAATTTGTGCTTTTGTGACTCTTCTTATCGATTACGCAAATTTGATTTTTCAAGGCTCATTTAGGAAATAAATTTAACGTATCCCGCGCCTAACAATTAGCAGCTAAGACTGACCATGATCTTTAAATGCTTTATAAATATGCACAGTTTTACCTGTATTCTTTAAAACTTACCAGTCTAGTTGCAATGGAATACATTGTTATACCGAGATTTTATTTCTGATAAAAGTTTTAAAAAGATTAAAAATCCGTGTTGAAAAAGAGAACAATAATTGTTTCTATGCTATTAATATTATAACAATCTATTAATCAAATTTTCAGCTCAAAATCATCTGATACCTATTGGATAGGAGCAAGCGATATTTTTCACGAGGCAGACTTTACCTGGACAGATGGTACAAAGGTTACTTTTGAAGGTAGGCCGTCAGTCATGAATGTTAGACTAGGAGATTATGATCCAAGTATAAAACATACTGTACATCTAAAAACAAAGTAAAGAAAATATGTCACTGTAAATATTAGAAATTATTTATTTCAGCTATGACAAACAAAAGTACAAAACAATAAAATAATAAAGGACGAGTTGGTCAACCTTAAACAAACAACATTACGAAATTCCATAATACAGTAAAATATAAGTTGTTCTAATAACGAGTAGCACCTGGGATATATGAATTGAATAAAGCTTTAGTTCTGCCGGGATTGGTATGAAAATGTGTGCCAAAAGAAGAAAGATGAACTATAAGCACTACGTTGTGGATGATAAGTAATAAACAAAATGAGAGTTAATGTTAGTTGACTTCTTAAATAATTTTAAAAGAAATAAAATATCTGCGTATTGTTTTTAATTGTTATACATTATATTAATTTTAAATAATTGTAAATGACATTTTCTTTAAAATATTGCTCTAGGACCTTTATTGTAAAATGTTTTAAAATTTTAAAAATGATAATCTTATTTACCGGTTTTATAACTTAATTATTATCATGAGTTATCAAAATTAGTTCAACTCAAATATTACATAACTATTCATTTCCAATCATTACATATCATCCAAGTGGAGTTATTGAAAATGTCGTACTTCTATTTACAATATAAAGATTTAATATTAAAAAAATACATATTCACTAACCAGTTAGTCAGAAAGGAACACAAAATCATAAGATGTCCTTATCGTATCGTATACGAAAAATAAAATCTTATCCTAACATTATGCATTATTTCTTACTAGACTGGTTTGAAGGATGGCTGCAATATGAACATTTCGGAAGACAACCAAATGATGATGGGTACAGTGAGCAAGATTGTGTGGAACTTCGAAGGGAATTCGCCATACCACTAAAAGGTTATGATATTGCTAGTAAGTGGTACTGGAACGATATTTCCTGCTCAGTTAAAAATGGATTTGTCTGTCAAGTACCCAAAGGTATGTATTTCTTACTAATTTAATACTTTGTATTTTGAGTTGAATAACAGCTTTCGATTCCACACACTATGTTCAAGGCTGTATATTGTAGTCGTAATTGATTAGTTTATCTGCAAATAATTGTAATTACATTATCTAACTGATGTGGATTTTTATGAAGTTCAAGAGTGTGATTATTAAGAAATTGTCAATATTAATTAATCTATCTAAAAACCCGAATGTTGCTTCCGTGATAGAAGTACAAAACACAGGGCAAATTATATCGTGACTAGTTTTCCCACTTTTCATTTTTGTTTGTGATATGTTAGACGTTTATTTGTGCTTAACAATTCCTTTATTAACGGCCTCATGAATGTATTATGGTGTAAAGAGATTTTGAGGACGTTATAAAATGGCTGATGACACTGTAGAGAGTCACATAAGAATTTGAAAGAAAGAATTTTGAAATACGCCGAAGATGAAGAAGATCGGTTTTACGGAAAAAGACCATAGTGACACAGTATATATTTTCCATCATTGTGAGTTTTGTAGGGCTTAGAGCCCTTTTGATTGATTCAATATGCTCTTTAAAATACGAAACAAAACAAAAATTAAAAAAAACATGAAATGTTCAAATCAAATCACATCACATCAGAGAATCAGGAATAACCCTAAGGTTCTGAATTTCCTTCATGAACTGGCTGGAAATTAACATATTTAAGCTAAAATGATAATTTTTTTCTATTTTTGAGCAGCTCAACATGTCTCAAGTACCATGTATGGTCCAAATTAGGTAGACCATATTATGATAAACACTCATTCTTTTCTTTCTTCCCTCGTCTTTTTTCTTCTTCATTCTTCGTCGTAGTCCACGACACAACACATTCCTACCACTCCAATCCATATATCTCGTTTTTTCTACGTACTTATTAAAACCTTACATCGGCTTACTGAAACTTCAACTATTTATTTTCACATTGGACCACCAAACGTCCAAACTATATAGTACCCATGAACCCATTAATTTCGAGTCTTTTTATACATCATTATGCTCATTTTATTTTTTTTTTGTAAAAAGAAAGGGTTATATATTTATTTATATTGAATTTATTTTTGTGTCAGGTAATAGCAGAAATAAATAAATATTGAATAAAATTGAATAAACAGGCTATTAATGAGAAAAATATATAACGAATACTTATGTAATATTAAAGTTGAACTAATTTTGATAACTCATGATAATAATTAAGTTATAAAAACGGTAAATATGAGTATTATGTTAGTTTCATTCAATCATAAATAAATCAATTAATCAAACAATCAGACAGTATTGTATAAGATTAATAAAAAAAGATGAATACAATTCCTGCAACAAGTGCACTTTCTGTAACACATTGACAATCCAGGCTGGGAAACCTTGAATCAGAGATAGCAGGGATAAATAGGATGATATATTATCTCATTTATATGATTATCTTCATCCAGGTTTTCATTGCTTTACTAATAAACAAATTATTGTCAAACATATTTGCTTTGGGTTCAGCTGTCAATCAAAATATTATTGCTTATCAACTAACAAACGGAAAATGGCAATCATTTAATTGGAATAAATTTCTATAAAATACAGTCTAGTGAGCAGTTACTGATCCATAAAAAATATTGCAAATATATACAGTTCACAGGGACATCGAAGATTGTGGGCAGTCATCAAGATAATCAACTTCAACCGTGGATACACAATTTTAATATTACAAAAATATAATAAAATTTAATTGTGTTTTCTTATAAATAAATTATCATTCATTTCATTTCTGAATAAATATTATTTATGTTGCTGATTGCTTTAAAATATCAATATAGATTATTTTCACGATAATATAAATAATAAAATTTATTTTCTATATTTAGGGAAAATGTCAATACCGATTGCAGATTTAAAATATTGCAACACAACAGTAACCGGATCATCAGGTTTTGTAACAAGCCCTAACTACCCGCTGTTTTATCCAAATAAACTTGTATGCTCAACGGTAATTGTTGTTTTACCCGGGCATCGTGTTTTCTTGGAGTTCGAAAACTTTGTTCTTGAAAATAATAGAAACTGCAGCTACGATTTCGTCAGAATAAGTGACTTTACAAACAACGTCAAAGTAGTTTGTGGAAATTACACTGGAAAAGAAAAATTATTGACCTTTCTTTCTGAGACAAATTTTGCCGAGATAACGTTTGTCTCAGATGATTGGGTTAATTTCAACGGATTTAATGTTAGTTATTCATCAAAAGAAGGTAGGTATAGCAATTGAACTAATTAAGTTCTCATTGTATATTGTAACTCTATAACGTTAATGGTTCTTCTTTTGTGTAAAGCCATATTGTATACACACAAGATACTCTTTTGTATTTTAGTCGTTAAGCTTTAAATTTCAGATAGCATATTGAAAATACATGTGTAGTTACCATTAAAACAATCTGCAAAAAGAAAATCTGACATGCTTCTGTTACATGCGTTTTTAAACTATTATTTCTCATTATTGTTAACTCTGTAAATTTTGCTAACTCACCAGATGATAATTTCATTTTGTCATAGTTCTTTATAGTTGTTATGATTCAACTTGGTTTCCAATACAAGGAAAATGTATGAAACCCGTGGCTACACCTCAATTGGATTGGGAAGCGGCCTTTGTTGCGTGTTATAACATGGGAAGGAAAGCTACTCTGGCGTCAATTGAGAACAAGGAACTTCAGGAATTTCTTGTCAAGAAACTTGCACAGAATACGCAGTTCACCGCCACATCGCAGTACTGGTTAGGCGGCACGGACCGTAAAGACGAAGGCGTATGGAAATGGCAATTTACAGATGTTATGGTCAATTTAACTTACACAAGTACGTATGGCCACAAACAATGATTGAACATTTTAAATATGTAAATCACGGGTCTAGTCCCATTGCCACCTGGCCTGTTGCCACCCGGCCGGGTGGCTAAAGGCTGGGTGGCAACGGGCCTAGGTGGCAAAAGGCAGGGTGGCAAAAGGCCGGTGGCAACGGGCCTAGGGTGGCAAAAAGCCGGGTGGCAAAAGGCCGGGTGGCTAAAGGCCGGGTGGCAAATGGCCTCAGGTGGCAAAAGTCCACATCATCATAATTTTCGTCATCATCGTCGTCATATATTTAGATAAGCAGTGAAAATCGAGCACATACTAATTATAATCAATGAGCCTTAGTTTCGTTTCCAAGGATCAATTTCTTGATAAACTAACGTTTACACACGTTATTATAATATTTTGTAATAAGTGCCACAATAAACATTTTTTTGTAAGAAGCATGTATCAGATTTGATAATCACTGAATTGAGAGTATTTTTAATTAACGTACCATTGTATTTAGTTTCGTTAAATCAATTTCTCATGAAGTTACAAGTCAGATAGGCTTAGCACAAGCCCATAGAAATATTTATAGTAAAACTAATGGCAATGCTTTAACAAGATACAATATGGTAACATGGAGAACACCATTCCTTAAATTTGTAAGCCAGTGCAATAATAATAATAATAATAATAATAATAATAATAATAATAATAATCTAATAAGCACTGTGCGGTACCACAGATACCATTTTTGAGTAGCGTTTACACAGGCATTTATTTGCAGTCAACTTGTTAGTGGCTGATCAAAGGTGCCTCTTATTGTCACATGCCTTGTAATTTTATTAATATTTACACGATCATCAAAACCTACTGAATAATACAATTTCATATAATGAAAACTTAATTTTCTAAATCTAAGACATTATTTCCACATTGTCGGGCATCACCCGACAATGTGGAAATTGTAGTTGTTGTACAATGTTTAGATTTTTTGTTTTATGTAACTATCCCATCTGGTTGGTAATACACTGTGTAACTGATAACTTTTTGTACATGGTTTATTATGTTTTATGTTTTTTCTTCCGGACAAAATTGGTCAGACTTCCCCTGAAATGTGGAGAAAAACTATCTCCGATGGAAGGCATGACCCTTTCAACTGTCTGGCACTTGACAGGATTTCATTCTTTCAATTAGTTTCATATGGATCAAATGCTACCTAGAATTCTGTGTTTTCTTTATATAACTTCAGAACGTCACAAAAAAAATAAAGAAACAAAAAAAGGCTATAAGCTACCACAGATCAATAGAAGGAAGTTGAAAAGTTTAATTCGCTGCTAATGATGGATAGGCAGGTTGTCTCCCAATCATTCCAAACATGGCAACATTTCCCCATGGCAATATCCACCGGAATCCCCCCCCCCCACAGTTTCTCTAAGCCCGTTGTTCATAGGTGTTATAATGGGCATTCATATATTATAAAGGCCTAATGCATTTAAATGACACTAGTACCTAATGTTGATGTACCATATTTTTGAAACAAATTTGAAGTTTTTTTTCACGTGCTCATTATATACAAAATAAAATCTTAGGAATGAATTTTAGACAAATATAAAAGTGATCCGTACCACTTTTTTGAAAATGTGTTCATATAACTTAGAATGACCTTTGTAAAAACAATATATCGATAAAAAATCTGCACTATTTAATTGTATTTCACATATGTAGTAAAGTAAAACATTTATCAAAATATTATTATTAGTTTTTGCATCCATTTTGAGTTATGAATACATTTATTTTGAATGATTTCTAATTTATACTACAACAAAAAGCAACCTTTGTTGACACAAAATATACTACCATCATATTTACTAACACTTCATAAAAGTCTCTATAAACAGCATTTTTTCAAACTAAAGTAATTTGGGGAAAAAAATATTATTTTTTTATATAGATTGGTTTCAAGGTTCGGGTAATATAAGTGCCCAACCTAGCAACATCGTCAATGAAGATTGTATTGTAATGACCAATTCTCTTAGCAAAGAAACACCTAACTCGTACTATTGGGCTGATGAGCTATGTAGAGTGCGATCTGGGTACATCTGTCAGCAAGAGGCACAAGGTATGAACGTCACGTTAAAGGTTTGATTTAAAATCCGTTAGTGGTTACAGACGATAAAAAATAGCAACAGGTACTGCTACATTTATTATTATTATTATTATTATTATTATTATTGTTGTTGTTGTTGTTGCTGTTGCTGTTGCTGTTGCTGTTGCTGTTGCTGTTGTTGTTGTTGTTGTTGTTGTTGTTGTTGTTGTTGTTGTAGAAATAACTAGACTAACTATGTCTGTAAAGCTGAACATAGTGCTTTTCGTTATTGACATAATAAGAGCTGATGTTGAATGTAGAAAGTAAACAAAATCAATATATATAAACAATTATGAAATAAAGGAATGTATGAACAGTCACTCGACGCTAATAAGATTCGAACCATACTGCATTGGGTTTGGTTAGGTTGATGTGGGTAGACATATGGCTACATAACACTGCAGAGGTCAGTGTGATTTTAGTTCGTGTAAAATTTGATAATAATAATAATAATAATAATAATAATAATAATAATAATAATAATAAGAGAGATGATGATGATAATGATGATGGTGATGATGTCTTCAACCTAAACCAATCCAGCGATCTCTAATAATAGCTTTTTATTATTTTTTCCTTTTTTTAAAGAAGTAAAGTCGGAGACACCGTACCCATATGAAAATGTTATTCAAGATTTATACGGACAAATTGCAAGTCGGAGCTATCAAGATGAGTATCTGAATGACATGTACATTAAATGGGTGTTTGTTGCCCAACCTGGATATCAAATTGTACTTCTGTTTCACAAATTTGATATCGAGAAGCAGAGTAATTGTTTATACGATTATATTTTACTCAGTGATTCCTTTGGAGAGAAAAGGTATTGTGGTAAAAAAACAGAAAATACTTTTCAATACAACTCAAGGGATAATATCTTGAACATAACATTTATTTCGGATTATTCGATTACTTTTCAAGGGTTTAGCCTTTCATATGAAATTGTTCCCGAGTGCCAACATATGTTGTTTACAGCGATAGAGGGCTCTATCCAGAGTCAAGTAAGCTTTGGACGCTACCTGGATAACATTGACTGCTTTATTAATATTAGCGTTCCCATAGATAGACGTGTGGTGCTAGAATTTGAAATGTTTGATTTAAAGTTTGATTTAAATTGCGAGAAAGATTTTCTAGAAATATTTTTATCTTCCGAATATTCTGTACGAATTTGTGGAAACAAAACTCTTGAACTATGGAAATTGAAGTATGTGTCTTATGCAAGTACTATGCAAATTAAATTCCGGACTGATCAATCGGAGGCGTCTAAGGGATTTCATGCAAGATATGCAGCAGGTACCTATATGTTTCTTTACTTATCAATATAATAAACATAATGCATTATACGCAACTAACGAAAGCAACTATGAATACATACAGTACACTACTTGTATTTAATTTCTTTTTAGTAGCTTAAAATTTTATAACCAAACGTTAAAGTTTTGAAATGTAAATTAATTTGATTTATGTTTATTGTATCTATTATTAAACAGTTAGCTTGTTTGGTCTGCTCAATTACTATTCAGAAGTGATGCCGAATGTCACCAGTACTACATTCACCAGTCTGAATTACCCTAACCCATTTCCATCTTTTACATACCAAGAAATTGTATTTTTTGCACCAACTGGATTTCATGCTAAGCTTAATATTACGGAATTTGATTTTGGAAGAGGAGGAACTACAGTGTAAGTTAGTAAATATTACAATTTTAGATCAAAAACAACGACGACTACTAAGTCTACTACTGCTCCTGATGCTGCTGATGCTACTGCTGCTAGTGTTACACTTGCTGCTGTTGCTACTACAACCACTACGCTGCTACAACTAGTGCTGCTGCTGCTGCTGCCGCTACAACAACAGCAACAACAACAGCAACAACAACAACAACTAATACTACTACTACTACTACTACTACTTCTGCTGCTGCTGCTACTACTACTACTACTACTTACTACTATTATTACTACTACTAATACTACCACTACTACTACTACTTACTATCACTAACTGCCACTACAACTACTACCACTACCATTAACAATACGTCCTACCTGTTATGTACAACAAATTAAATTGTGGAATTGTCTGTACATACATAAAACTTTTTAAAACATTCACTGTTATTTTATAGTTTAATATTTAAACAAATTATAAATATTTACAATATTCGTTTACAGATGTTCTACGGATGTCGTTATGGTTATTGACTATGAGCAGTACGGCTCCGAAAATACTTTAGCCAGTATTTGTGGTGGTCTTATTACTAATTTGCAAAACTACAGTTTTATTTCTACGTATAATAAAATTGGAATTCGATTTATATCTGGAGGTTCAGAAAAACCACTCAACTCTGGCGTCATGGCATCTTTTAGAATCACCAAATGTAAGCACAAGCTGAATTAAATGTTTTTACTACAACTTAGTTATTCGTTTATTAACATTCAACATAAAACATATAAAGAGGAACTACATTTGTGATTACGACCTGTCGAATATAATTATGTGAATAATGTTCAATTGTTTTTAAACAACTTATTTAGCTAATGAAGTCTGGGATCCAGGAATTTTAGCTCCGCGTGTTGAATCAACACCCTGTGATTCTAAACCATGCAAGAACGGAGCTACGTGCATTGTGACTGAAGCTAGCTATACTTGCGAATGCACCAACGAATTTACAGGTAATATTACAAAAAACTATATAATAAAGGCTACTAGAAAATAGTGTAAGATTACACAGTTCGCTGTCGAGTGTTTGGAGTATTACTTGCTTTTTTTTTTAAATATTGAGACGACCAAGATCATTTCTTTTATTTATGTATAAGGCTTTCATGTTAAATATATATAACATATTTCAAAATTTGTACTTATAAGCATATTTTTGCATTATTCATTTTAATCTTTATATATATTATCATAAAACAGTGAAATAATAAAATACATGTTAAAATAAGTAATTCTAATTTAGGCCTAATCTTAATAACCTGTTACTTTGAATTAAAAGTTACGAATTCGTACGTATCAACTCCAGTGCTTGGTAACTTTACAAAATCTGTAGTTAGTTCAGTATAACGACTGAAAAGAAATCATTAGTGTATCCTCTTGAAATTGAAGTCAATTGTTACCCTGTTAAATTAGTGAATTTCTAATCTTAATAAATTGTCTGCTGACCTCAGTTCCAAGTGGTTGGCCTGAGGTTAAAATGGTTTCTCAAGACAGCATCATTTCTCAACTTGCTAGTTATGCGATATAGAACTTAAGTCGGCTAAAAGAGGTGATCTAAAAAGGATCGTTATCTTTAAAAGGGTTTAGGCTTTGTCTGCTTAAAAAGCAAACTGCTAAGATAGAATTTAGACGTTAAAGAATCTGTTGGGGTGTTTTCCTTGAACATACATAATTATTAGTAAGGTCATTTTTGGGGGTCCCGTGACCATTTTCTTCCTACCCTTTTTTCAATGGATTTTGCAGGAACCATGTCAGAAAAAAAAAATTAGCTCTTATGTACCTCTGAAAATTTTCGGGAACAAAATGACCGCCGACGCCATCTTGAAAATTATAAAAGTCATATATCTCTGGCTCTAGATGAGCCACGGTAACGGATTTGGTTCTTCTTCCACTATATTTGGCATTACCAATACACTGGGATGGTAAATCCTGACCTATAAAATTCAAGATGGTTGCTGTCCGCCATCTTCAAAGACCGTAAAAATGTATTATCTCATTCTATACATTAGCTAGAAGGACAAATAGAATGTTATTTACTTTAAAATTTACTTTACCAGTATGTTGACATGGCTATACTGAAGAGTTTGAGATCCTCCTGAACATTGGATCCAAGATAGCTGCTGTTCGCCATCTTGACAATATGCCAAACTCTAATATATCTGGAGCCAGGTGATCTACAAAGACAAATGAGATGCTATTTCCTAACTTTGCCATTACCAATGCACTGAAATGTTTATTGTAGAGTTTTTAAGATCATACTAACTTATATATTAAAGAGGGCTACTGTACGCCATCTTTGAAAAGCGAAAAATTGAAATATCTCTGGCTCCATGTAATCAAGGAGGCCAAATATGATATCAGTTTTGCTGAATTTTGCTTTACCAATACAATGATATGACTATTGAAGAGCTTCAAAGTCCATCTGAATAAGGAATCCAAGATGGCTGCTGTCGGTCATCTTTGAAATATGCAAAATTTTTCATATTCTGGCACAGACGAGGCAGAGGGGCCGGCTGAATGAAATGTAGTTTCCTTTAATGTTGGCATTAACAATACCATTGAATTGTTATTTAGTGATTCCTATATCCTATAAATCAAATATGCACAAAAGTATCTTATTAAGAACAATTATTTTGGAATTTGGTCTTTTCGAAGATAAATAGTATCATGGTATTTCGTCTTTATTAAAAAAGCTTTGTGAAAATTTGTTGTTATGCTGAAATAAGCTATCTTGGAATTCCTTCTTTTTCAATATAATTCATCTTGAGATTAATCATCTTGAAATTTCATTTTTCCGATATAACTTTTCTTAAAATTACATCTCTATAAGATAAGTATTTGAAAATGTTGGCTCTGATTTAAAACATTTTAGAAATCTGTCTTTCGGAGGATGTTATCTTTGAATTTCGACTTATTTTGAAACTTTCCGTGATAAACTATCTTGAAATTCTATTCAAGATACTTCATCTTGAGAATTCCGTCTTTCTGAGATGAATCTTTTCTAAATTTTGTCTTTCCGACGAAAATATCACAGTATTCTGTACTTTTTATTCCGTCTTTTTGAGATATGTTATCTAGAATCTCTGTCCTTCTGTAACAGCTTATCTTGGAATACCGTCTTTTAAGATATTTCGGCAACATGACCTAATCACACTTTATTCCAAGTTTCCAAGATAATAATTATACTATAGGAGATTTGGAAAGGTCAGTATAATTTTTTAATCTCTACAATAACCATTCCAATACATTTTTTCGGTTTTTCAAGATGGCGGACAGCAGCTATCTTCAATTTTATAGGTCAGCATGATATATAAATACTACATTTACCGTTCCAGTATATTGATAACGCCAAATATAGTGAAAAGGGACACCAAATCCATCACTGTGGCTCATCTAGAGCCAGAGATAATTTATTAAATGATTTTCAGAAAATGGCGTCGGTGGCCATTTCGTTCCCGACATTTTTCAGAGGTACATAGCACCTAATTTTCCTATGATATGGTTCCAGATGCAAAATCCATTAAGAGAAAAGGGTAGGAAGAAAATGGTCACGGGACCCCAAAAACGACTCTACTAACCTTATATTAAGTACAATATTTCTCTCCCCAAAACGCATCGGCACATTTCTGAATTTTTAATTATGCAATGTCAACAACCATCTCAATGTCATTGTTCATATAACCTTAAACTTATCAGGTATCCGCTGTACGGAGCAGCGGGCTTCATACTTGCTAACGGAGCCTCTTTGGTCTGGAACATTAGCAATCATTGGGCTACTGATCCTAATGCTTATTGCTATGAAGTTAAGAAGGCATTGTGAGAAGACTTGCAATTGTGGTTTAAAGAAAGACGTCGAGTCACCATTTAAAGCATACGAAGGTTAGTGACACAAACCAAAATAGGCTAATTAAAAATATCCCTAAACATGAAAAATGCAAGTCCATTTGTACCGTTGTACCCAGTGGCGGCTCTAGGATATATCATCTGGGGACTGAGAGCTGTCCGACAGGGGGACATGGGCTCGTATGCCCGAGCTGAAGAAAGGGTTTGAGAGGGTGTTCCCCCTCCAAAATGAGATTTTTGTAAGAATAGGAACCTTTGGTTGGCCAGAAATGACACTCTCTGATTGTGAGAGATATGTGTTGGCTTGGCGTGGGCCTATTTTTATATATTTTTTTAGTAAATTTGCCAGACGAGCTCTTTCCAATGGGGAAGGGGGGTTTAAGCCCTTGCTGTCTCCCCGCTGGCGCCGCCACTGGTTGTACCGTACTAGTTTCAGGTAAACAAAGTCTAAAAATGTATGTGTGAAAAACAAAACTAACCATTAAAACAATCAAGACAACTCATTGCATATTTCTTTTTTTTGTGAAAAACAAAAATAACCATTTAAACAATCAAGTCAACTCATTGCATATTTTTTTTTTTTTTTTTTTAGTAATCATTGGCTATAAATAAAATTGTGTATGAACTATTTTTACTTTTATTAGACAATGGACCTTCAGCCATCTACGCTAAATATGCTGATACTGACCCTACGGCTGATGCGTTCAGTTCATTGATTCAAAGACTTAAGTCTGGTGCTACAGCACAGACAGCATCGGTGGTGCCTACTACACAGAAACCAAAACTAGGACTAGAAGTATCACCGGCTAGTCTAAAAAAGAATAAGGCACTAGCGCCAAAGGATCTGATTTTACTGAATGGAAAGGTGAAGGCAGAAGATTCGTTAATTTCCAACGGACTCATTTCCGGCAATGATGGCAATGTTGGCTCATGTAAAGCGAAAAACAGTCATCTACTGAAGGTCACTGTAGATATCAACCAGACTTCAAAAACAGCCTCAATTGATACAAATACTACAACAAACCGGGTGGCGGGAGCAAGCTTTGGACTTTCAGCCATTTTAATTTCTTATCTACATGATATCACACTTGGTTAGTGACATTGTTTCGCTGTGGAGGGGCCGGGGGTGGGGTTGGTGATTGTGGGGGTGGCTCCTGTCACCCCTGCCACTCTAAGTTAAACTTATTTTTCGTATATAAATAATGTTGACAATCAATACAAATCATCTGTGTTTTTGAAATAGAAAAAATTAGGCCACGATTTAATTTGAAAGGACAGAATTCCCCCTTTTTTCAGCTGGGTGTGTGGAATCATTCAGTCCGCATTGACCATTGAAAAGAAAGGGGAAAAAAACTTGAAGAAGACATCTACTTCTAAACAATCAATGATTGGTTGCACATAGTCGTGTAGCTATATTTCGTTTATGTCTGATCCCATATAATTTCTCCAATTCGATTCTAATTATTAAAGCTGATTTAAGAGTTGGACGAATAGCTCTTTTTATCTCTTCAAACTTTCCTTTCAAATTTCCTAGATCTGCATTGTGTGTGTGTCTGAGCTTAATTCATCCTAATATTGACTGACCCCTTGCCGAACTGTACTTCTAACCATGTTCTGGCTGATTTAAGTACTTAAGTACCAGGTTTTAATTGTACATGTACAATGTGTTTTATACTTTTACAGACTTGCACTTTTCCTGTCAATAACCGGAAGACTCTTTTTCGCTCCAAACCAATCAGGATACATTTTTACTGTGTATGCTACTTAAGACGCATAAAGCCGTTTCGTGTATCACAGATTTCACCCCAATGCTCTTCTATGTTGTTTGGCAACACTTCCTTAACAAACAACTTTCATTATGATACTTACTCATCTTAATTCGTGCATCTTTTCTTCTGTATGGTTTAATTTCTTTAACACTTGTTTCCTTATCTCTATCCATGTAAAATTCTTGGTTCGGGATTAGGTGTTTCAAAGATTGTTGTATTAGAAAACAATTGGTGGGAACGGTTCAAATATCTCAATATAATATACCATACATTGATTTTATGGTGGTGTCATTGATTGTAGTTTCATAACTTTCTCGTGTTTTTTTTCTTTTCAGAGATATTATACATGAAGATCAACTATAAGGAGAGGTGTAAAATGCCTTAGACATATTGTTAGCAGATTTGAACTCTCTTACTATATAGGACAGCAACAAGAGCAATAAAGCCACGTTATCGGTGCCGATAATAAATACACGTTATGAAACTCGGCTACATAACTTCAGAATTATCGAATTGTGGCACTGAAGCTCTTCCTGAAGTACTACTAAATGTCTCTGTATACCTTACCTCTTATTGCAACTAGAGTACTTTATGTACATTTTTTAAGTTTGTATTTTGCTGCTTACAAGTATTTTAAATTTGTATTTCACAATATTTGTAAAAATAGCTGAGACAAAACATCATATGATTTATATAGAATGTGTTCTATAAAATGTGTTCTAAAATAGCCTGTTTAGGCTGATAGTTCATAAAAGTCGTACCTAAGCTTACTAACAGTTATTATTCATATTTATCAAGTTTGCGTGCGCATTAAGATGATGTAAAGTAAGTGGAGTTAGTTTAGCGGTAAAATGCTTGCCTTCTAATCCCAGGGTCCTGGGATTAATTCCTGCCAAAGCATGACTTTTTCTCACGATTTAAAACAACTCCACTCACCAGGCCTCAATAAGAGACTTGATTTATAAAGCATCGTTTCATCTTATAAGTGGCGAGTATACTTGCTGTTAGATGTGAAGGAAATAAAATATAAAATATAAAAAATATAATATTATTCATAATGAATATTGCTATGAAATCTTAATACACACGTTTGTATTGCGATATATTCTCTTTATAGGGGGAGGGGACGTAATGGTAGGACAAAACAACACCCCCCCCCCACCCCTATGGCATTTTACTGAGGCAAAAACCACATCGAAATAAAAAAAAATATGTGTTATTTAGTATGTTTCATGTGATAATTGTACTATTTATTTTATATTTCAACATTTTACTTTTTGAGTAAATATATTTTTTCAATTGTTTAATTGTAATTTATTTAATATGTGTTAAGATATTACAGCAAATGGTAACAGTTTACCTTCCCAAATTGTTCCATGTATTTTATTTTTTGCTTATTTTTAAAATTATAATTTCGAATTGTTTAGAAAATTAGCTGTTTTAAACTATTTAAAAACTGGTTTATCTGGTGCTCGTAAATTTATGAAGAGAATCGATCGAGAGCCATTATAAGACTCATTCAAATACACAGGAGTGTTTCCTCGATTTATCTATCATAATGAAATTGTATTTACCAGTTTCATAAATTATTGGCTAGTTATAACGGGATTATTTGTTTTAAAAATTGATTTGAATGTCCTTCGTCGGCTTAGAAAATAGCCAAAAAAAAATTACTGTTATTTATGCGATAATTGGAAATCTATAAGCTTTTATTGTAAATAAGTGTAAATTAATATTGAATGCATGCTATCATCTCTTAGCTGCTTTGCTTTTTTTATATGCCAATTTCAGTAAATTTTGTAAACATTCTATGCACTTTTCTTACAGTAAAGCAACAGCACTTTGTGAATAAAAACAACCGTTCTTACTACTGTATGCTCTTATATTTAAATATTAATTACTGTATGTAATATTTTTTAAATATTGTGGATAAAATTTTACAGCAAGCTAGAGCAAAATCGATCTGTGAGGGGCGTGACCAAATGTTGGTGGGTTTCTTATCAAATTAACAATGTGGAACAACATTTACTTTTGTACAATCAGAATGGGCTCTTCAAAACGGTTTGTTAACCAGCAAATACGAAATGTTTTATAATGTCAGTGAACGTTGTGGTTATTATTTCACAAAATAAATTTCACACAACGTTGCAGGAACGTTCAGATGTTATGAAGTTGTAAAATTAGGTTTTAAGTACGTATTAAGACTTCACAAAACACTTTTTTCAACACCAAACTGTAATGTTATTATATCGTTCTTATAACTTAATATTATTAGCTGGTCCTTTAATAGTGAGATTCTAGGACAAACTCAAGTTAGTACGAGCTCTATATTTGTTTTCTAGAGAAGGTACAGAAGGTACGCCATGCTTATTAATAAGCAATTAGTAGAGCTCCGCATAGTACACTATAGGAAATTTATTATACGAAGGTTAGTTTTAATGCTTGAAAAAAATTCCTGAGGGCCTGCAAGGCCCGATGGAAATTTTTGAATACATTAAATCTAACCTAAGTATAATAATTTTCCATTTAGTGTACGATGCATGCTCTACTAATTGCTTTATAAGTCAATCGCCGTCTTTTAATTTTAGTTTTTTATATCCAACTGTTGTAGCAGTCATCGGTTGCTATAGTGATATGATCAGTATACGTGTGCGTATTTACATTTAGCTGTGCGTATGCTGACTATTTTTATATCGGAAACTATTTCAGAAAATGTTGAATCATATAAGAGAATAAGCAGTCGAGTCGCATATCTAAACCTTGTGTTCTGTGGTGATAAAAGAAAAGACCTATTGAAAATCAGAGTTATTAACTGTTATGGGATTACTTCACCAAACGCGAAAAAAGATCCAGGAGAGCTTGATAAATTCTACCGAGATTTAAACGAAGCAATAAAAGTACCAGCCAAATATGAGATTGTGATTTTCGGTGATATGAATGCAAGACTTGGTAAACGATCTTTTATTGATGTAGAATCTGGATTATCTGTTCTTATGGTAAAATACGGTGTTGGAAAAAGAAATAATAATGGTGAGAAATTGTTTAATTTCCTTAAATCCAACAATCTATTTGTAATACAGCATTCCAGCACCCAAGTAGGCATATTAGTACATAATACCACGAAACATGTACCCTACTATGTGCAAATTGATTATATATCCTGTACACAAAGAAGTAAAGTTATTTTTACTGAATCGAGATCTTACAATGGAACACAGCTTTTATCTGATCATAAATTAGTATGTACCAGATTTGATTATGGACAATGCTATAAATTTACAAAGAAGAGCAACAAAAAAAAAACTGTGGCTTTTAATGTAATGAAAATGATTGAAAACAACGTAGTGCACGATTTATATAAAGATGAGCTTAGTAGGCTACAAGGACAAAGGAAAATGCTAAGGAAGAAATGAACATACTGATTGAAACAGTCAAAAACGTAGCCACTAATGTTGTTGGTTTTAAACAAAAACAAGGACGCCTAGAATATTCAAATGACCCTGAAATTGCTCGAATGGCTAAGGAGCGTCATCAGCTGATTATCAACAAAGCACAATTCGTAAAGACATTATTCGCTACAAAAATAAGATGTAAAAGAGATTAAAACATCTAAAAACTGAAAAAGCAGATTAATAAAAGATATTGAAGATACTGATGATTCACGAAAAATGTTTGAGGCGATCAGGATTCTCAATAACTCAAAAGAAAGGAAACCAATAAGAATACAAAATGAACATGGAGAATATCTTAATAGTGATCAAGATAAAGCGAACACGATTATAGAATGCTTTTTATGAACATCTTACAGGAGATGAACTCGGTTTAGAACATTTGGATTATGATCCAATGTCTCTAGATAATCCTATAACATTAGAGGAGGTTAAACGTGCGGTCTCAAAACTAAAAAATGCCAAAACGTGTGAACCGGATGATTTAAAAAACGAACTCCTTTAAATTTGCTGGTGAAACATTTTATGCTAAGTATGCAGATATCTTAAACCAGTGTTTTGAAGAAAATACGTACATAGAACAGATGGGCCAAGGCATTCTCCTACCTATTCAGAAACCTCAACATGTAGCTAGACCTGTTAAAAATATTCGACCAATTTGTCTATTAAATGGGTGACGAAAGATTTTATCAAATATAGTATAAAACAGAATACAGACGCAGACAGCGGAATACACGGGAGTGTGCATACAAACAAGGAATAAGTTGCACAAACGTCGTTTGGGTACAGAGAATGTTGATTTCGGTAGTACTGGAGAAAAAAAAACTGATCTACATAATATGGGCATCGATATGTCCATTGCTTTTGATACAATTCGTAAGACAACCATTTTAAGACTTCTCAAATGTAGTAGAGATGATATTTGACTCGTCAGGTTTTTACTTGCAAACACAACGCTACGAGTTAAAGTAAATAGTAGAGTATCTACAGAATTTGTGTGCACAAGAGGATCTCTTCAAGGTGATGGGATTTCCGGAACTCTATTTATCTTAGTCCTCGCAGGAGCTTTGAATCATTTGCGCGCCATCACTAACAGGCCAAACCCAGCAATTACAGAAAATCGTATGTCTGCAGAGTGGCAATATGCAGATGATTCTGATTTTATTGATGAATCGAAACAACCTTTAACAGACTTTTTACCTAAATGTACCAATGTATTTAAGCAATGGGACCTATACGTTAATGCAGATAAGACAGAGTTCGTCCACCTATATGTAGCGACTAAGAATAAAATTAATAATAATGGCGTGCACTTAAAATACAACGAACCATAGAGGTTTTCGAAATTGCTTGGATCAATGCTTTGCTCTACACAAGATATTATGTATAGATGTCGTATCGGCAATGCAGCCTTTCAGAAATATAGAAAGGTGTGACTTTGTGGTACAAAGATTTCAATTACGAAGAAAATTAAAGTTTATGAAGCCCAAGTCGTATCTGTTGTTATGTATAATTTCAGTTGTTGGGCAGCGCCGAGCTCAGTTTTGGAAAAAGTTGATGTGATGCAGCGCAGACATCTCAAGACGATTTTGAACCTCCATTGGCCGTATGCTAGTATTTCTAATGCTGATCTTCATGAACGTGTTAAATTTCTCACTCTTAGATTGACGTAAATAAGGAATGATAGGCCTAAGACGTAGGTAAACTTTCAATGATAATCATTTAATGCCAAAAACCAGGGAGAACGCTCAACAGCGAGCAAAACATCGAACCTTGTGGTTTGCTAAACATCGAACCTTGTGGTTCGGACACAACATCCCTCCCCCTTAACCTTTAACTGTCCAAACATTGTAACTTATGTATAACAGGGTTCTATAGATCAAGTCTAGTAGGTGGTTTAATTTTTCTTCATGATCTGTCATTGTTTTTCGCATTGTTGGTGTGTGTTCCTTTTCGATTAGTGTTTCATGGAGGATTTCCTGATCTCTAAGGTTGGCTGATCTCAATTGATTTGCGTGTCTGGGCCATTCAGTCCCTGGAGAAGTCTGAACTGTATATGAGAGCGGACCTGTCAACACCAGGAATCCAATTTTATTGTGTCCACTATACTCTCGTACAGCTACTGTTTCCTCTACTGTGAATTTGTGCACATTATTGGAAACTTTTTCCATTTTCTCATTCACGACATCCACCTTTCTCGCGATGTTTGGTTTCATTAATGTCAGTCGCGTTTGAAGCTCTCTGCCTAAGAACAACTTTGCAGGTGTTTCTTGGGTTGTGGTTTGCGGAGTTGATCTATAACTGAGCAGGAACGTTGACAGCCTTTTTCCTAACGAACTATGCTGTGCTCTTGATGCTCTCATAGAATGCTTAAAGGTTTGAACGAACCGTTCCACCAGGCCGTTTGTCCTTGGATGATACGGGGCAGAAGTTATATGTCGAATGCCGTTGGCTTCAATAAACCGTTTGAATGTATGTGCGATAAACTGCGGACCGTTGTCCGTTACCAACTTTTCTGGCAACCCATCCCTCGCAAATACACTCCTCAATATTTCAATGGTTTGTTCACTTGAGGTTGCTGACATTTCAATCTGACCTCTGGCCACTTAGAATGTGCGTCCACTAAGATGAGGAACATTTTACCCTCAAATGGTCCTGCGAAGTCTGCATGCACCATTTTCCATGGTCTTTGAAGCCGCTCCCATGGATGTACTGGGGCTGCTATAGGCGTGTTTCTGTTAGCCTGGTATCCGGTACTATTGAAGGCATGTGGGTACTTCTTTCAGGAAATTGTAATCTGATACCATTGTCATGATAACGGTTTTTAAAGTTTACTGAAGAAAAAACATTCAAAATTCAATTGTTTAAGAATATAGTACTGAAAAAATTACACAAAAACGACATATCTAACTAGTTTAACTTTCCATTTTCTGCTCCATTCTCTTTAGGTTATGCCGAGTATCGTTATATTTGAGTCCCATCTTGTTTCTAATTATGGCTGTGCATAATGGGTGTAAGTAACACACAAAATCTGTAAAGACATAAATGACAAAAATGTAAATATTAGCAACATTTACTAAAAACCTTCGATTAGATAAATAATGTGTACAACAGTAGACGTCATTTTGATATAAACAAAAAATTATAAAAGATTAAAGAGTTCAAACATACATTCTGAAGTGTAAATTATTTTTTAAAAACCAATGGTGGGTTATTCAATTTTCCAATACTTGATAATTACAATACAGTACAGCTAATAAATAACATTTTATTTATGTTTAAAATTCTAAATTAAGGACACTCCAAACATAGATTTGTGCCATACTTTTTATGGTACAAATTTAAAGTATAATTATTCCGCATCATTATTTAGACAACTGAAAAAAGGTTACTTGTTTAGAACTTTAATTGTACGAAAATAAAAATCCGTATATTTTTTATATATTATAAGTTTCAAAAGGAGTCCAATTAAAATCTTTAATAAATCGTCACCGTTTTCACGAAGAGACACAAACTTCATATCTAAACAAAAAATCATATTTTTTTCAATTTTTTTTTCTTTGACATTTTGATTATGTACATCGAACTTTACCTTTTCATCTAATTTTTAAGAGTGGAACTACACTAATTAGCTAATTAAGCTAATTAGCCGTTGCGCACAAACCGAGAAAAAATGGATTTTTCGTTTTCACGAACAGACACAAACCTTAATTGGGTTATTAAAAGACGCGCGTGCGGCGTTGCAATCGTTGTGATCGCTAGGTAAGGCCTAGCTTGGATAGGGCTAGATGTAAAAATTAGATTTCCCTAGCTTATCTAGGCATACCGGTACCCTTCTTACAGTATAACTTGGGATAGGTCTATACACGTGCATCAAATGTGGAATTATTCGTAAAAACATAATGATTAATTAAAGCAGGATAAGCCGAGATTGTAGGCCTGTTTTCGCCCTGGACTACAATGGTTAACACATAGCTAAAATACAGTTTGTGCAAGTTTGTGCCTTAACAACGGATGCGCGTACAGCGCGCACCGTTTTCACGAAGAGACACAAACTTCACTCTACGTGTAAACAACATTATGTTGTGTTTATTCTGATCGTTTTCACGAACAGACACAAACTTTTCACGCTAATTAACAGGTTGATAAAAGATAAAAATATTCAAAATTCCGTTATCTTGATTGTGAAATTTACGGATTTGTGAAGTAGTCCACTTCAAACGCGTTTTTCTCAAGACTTTGTTTTCGTCGAAATTGAAGTTTGTGTCTCTTCGTGAAAACGGTGAGGAAATAAATAAACGTTGACAATGTATTACTCACTGACTATGGCATTCACTTTTCGTTGGTCAAGAATGGGCCGGTTTTTGTCTTCGTCCTTTAGTCGATGACCAGTGACTAAACTGGTTACCATTTCTTCTGGGGTAAAATCAATCGACTTGCACTGCTACTTTTCCTCATAAATATTGAAAAATTGTTCCCTCCGAAAGGAAGGAAGCTAGTTCTTAATAACATAGAATGAAATAGGGTAACGTCAAACATGATAACATACTTTATAAGCAAACAATAACAAATATTACTACAAATGGTATAATGAATGACGTATGATATGATTGACCTATTAAGCACCATGAACGTTATGTTATAATAGTAGGCCTGTTAAGGTGCCTATTTTAGGCAAATCCTTCAAATTGTGATAACATTCTGAAACTTGGCACATTTATTCATTGAGGTATCAAAAACATGGGATGGAAGGGTTGCCCAAAATTTGAGTAGGGGAAAGCGGCCATCTTGGATTTCAAAATGGCGGACCCCAAATTTCCACTTTTTAGGTATCTCAGCGAAAAAGGCATCTAGTGTTCTGATTTTAGGTGTAAAGTATATGGTATTGAGGTCAACAAACACACTGGTATAACTTGCATTTTGATTGCATGGCGGCCATTTTGAATTCCAAGATGGCTGCCATTAAAATAGTGGATCTTAAAGTTTGGTTTAGTTGTATTTTAGCTAAAGAGGCTCCTAGAATTCTTAATTTTTGGCTTGAAGTATATGTAATTTGGGTCAACAAACATATTTGTACAACCCAGGAGAAAATTCCTGTTGATGCCTATTACAATTTCAACAGGTATTGACAGGTACTAACATGTACCTGTTACATGTAACAAGAATGAACAGGCAATTCAACAGATACCAATTAAAACCTGTTAAATTTGTGTTAGGCTGAATGAACAGGCAATTAACTAGTTACCAACAGGAGACAATATTATTCATAACAGGTAATGAATAACCAAAAAGTATCAAAAAGGTATCAACAGGTAACATTTGCCCAGTCAGAACGCAGTATCAACAGGTTTCCTGACGATTGCCTGGTAACTTGTCCTAATGCGCCATTTTTGCACAGTGGAGTGAGCAAGCAGGCTTCTTACACTAGCAGATGTATCTGCATCTCTCTTTGCTCATAAAAGTAAGTATTTATAATCAATTTTGTGATTAAGTTCCTAAATTATATGTACAATAATTAACCAGGCCCTTTTCTAGATATTTTTGTCTGTAGGGTATCACTTAAGTTCAAAGAACCTGCCATTGAAAAGTTCAAAATAAGAAAATCACAGGTTTTTTTTTTGTCATTGGATACTCGTATTACATTTTCTTATCTTGTTCAATACGTCAAATACCGGTAATGACTGTTGACCAGCCGCTATACATTGTGCTTTGGCAAAGCAGATTCAGTGGACAAAGCAACATACATCAGTAAACTAATCATAATTCTGTTTTTTGTTGCAGGCATTGTAGATACCATGTCGAGCACACAGAGCGCAATTTAGCACCAGCAGTAGATGCTGTTTTATGGACCAGCAATAGACAATATGCTCAGGCCTAATGATTCGAAGACATTCCTTGAGTATATATCAAGTGTCGTATAACCATATAGAATCAACTTCGGTCTGCGGCACGACTAGATTTTGTTATTGATAGATACTTTAAAGACAGTTTAAAGTCTGGTACGCATTCGAAATGGTGTGAGAAGGATCGTCAAAAGCCAGCGGGAGTATTGGTCCACATTCCTTAGATGTGATGACAACAAATCAAAGGTGTTTCCATTAATTGTAAACGAAGTAGTTGACAACATTGACACAAATCACGGATTGTTTATAGGGTCTCTGGGAGACGGAGCTGTAGCATCCATTGATGCCATGTAACATGGAAGAGGCAGATGAACGTATGTTTGTTCATGTTAAACATGCTGCCGAAAATTTTCCGCGCATTCATGTCAAGCCTGAAACAGTGATGTTGCTTTTATTGCGTTGTCTGCATCCAGGAGTTTTGGCTCGAGTTTGGAA